CTGCTGGAGTCAGCGGCCCTCGCGTGGCTGGATGGGGTGGGAGGCACCTGGTGGGCGCAGCTCCGTCCCTCGCCCACCGGGCCTGGCACCCCACACTCCCCAGGGCAGCACCCGCTGGTCAAGGCCTCCCCTGACACCCCAAATACTCCCCCTGCTGCGGCCCAGCACCCTAGGGTGCCCCACATGCCTGCCTTCACCCCAAGAGCACCCATACCCTGTCTGGGTCCCCAACAGGGCAGGGATCTCCCTTCACCCCAGCCCTACCTGCACCCTAAGAGCACCCACAGCCTATCCAGGCCCTCAGCACCCCAGGGCTCCCCCAGCTGCCTGCCTTCACACCCCCCACATGGGGGACACCCCATCTCCTGTGACCCCGACATGGCGCTGTGGTGACACCCTGTCACCCCGACATGGTGTTATGGGGGACACCCCATCTCCTGTGACCCCGACATGGCGCTGTGGTGACACCCTGTCACCCCGACATGGTGTTATGGGGGACACCCCATCTCCTGTGACCCCGACATGGCGCTGTGGTGACACCCTGTCACCCCGACATGGTGTTATGGGGGACACCCCATCTCCTGTGACCCCGACATGGCGCTGTGGTGACACCCTGTCACCCCGACATGGTGTTATGGGGGACACCCCATCTCCTGTGACCCCGACATGGCGCTGTGGTGACACCCTGTCACCCCGACATGGTGTTATGGGGACACCCCATCTCCTGTGACCCCGACATGGCGCTGTGGTGACACCCTGTCACCCCGACATGGTGTTATGGGGGACACCCCATCTCCTGTGACCCCGACATGGCGCTGTGGTGACACCCTGTCACCCCGACATGGTGTTATGGGGGACACCCCATCTCCTGTGACCCCGACATGGCGCTGTGGTGACACCCTGTCACCCCGACATGGTGTTATGGGGGACACCCCATCTCCTGTGACCCCGACATGGCGCTGTGGTGACACCCTGTCACCCCGACATGGTGTTATGGGGGACACCCCATCTCCTGTGACCCCGACATGGCGCTGTGGTGACACCCTGTCACCCCGACATGGTGTTATGGGGGACACCCCATCTCCTGTGACCCCGACATGGCGCTGTGGTGACACCCTGTCACCCCGACATGGTGTTATGGGGGACACCCCATCTCCTGTGACCCCGACATGGCGCTGTGGTGACACCCTGTCACCCCGACATGGTGTTATGGGGGACACCCCATCTCCTGTGACCCCGACATGGCGCTGTGGTGACACCCTGTCACCCCGACATGGTGTTATGGGGGACACCCCATCTCCTGTGACCCCGACATGGCGCTGTGGTGACACCCTGTCACCCCGACATGGTGTTATGGGGGACACCCCATCTCCTGTGACCCCGACATGGCGCTGTGGTGACACCCTGTCACCCCGACATGGTGTTATGGGGGACACCCCATCTCCTGTGACCCCGACATGGCGCTGTGGTGACACCCTGTCACCCCGACATGGTGTTATGGGGGACACCCCATCTCCTGTGACCCCGACATGGCGCTGTGGTGACACCCTGTCACCCCGACATGGTGTTATGGGGGACACCCCATCTCCTGTGACCCCGACATGGCGCTGTGGTGACACCCTGTCACCCCGACATGGTGTTATGGGGACACCCCATCTCCTGTGACCCCGACATGGCGCTGTGGTGACACCCTGTCACCCCGACATGGTGTTATGGGGGACACCCCATCTCCTGTGACCCCGACATGGCGCTGTGGTGACACCCTGTCACCCCGACATGGTGTTATGGGGGACACCCCATCTCCTGTGACCCCGACATGGCGCTGTGGTGACACCCTGTCACCCCGACATGGTGTTATGGGGGACACCCCATCTCCTGTGACCCCGACATGGCGCTGTGGTGACACCCTGTCACCCCGACATGGTGTTATGGGGGACACCCCATCTCCTGTGACCCCGACATGGCGCTGTGGTGACACCCTGTCACCCCGACATGGTGTTATGGGGGACACCCCATCTCCTGTGACCCCGACATGGCGCTGTGGTGACACCCTGTCACCCCGACATGGTGTTATGGGGGACACCCCATCTCCTGTGACCCCGACATGGCGCTGTGGTGACACCCTGTCACCCCGACATGGTGTTATGGGGGACACCCCATCTCCTGTGACCCCGACATGGCGCTGTGGTGACACCCTGTCACCCCGACATGGTGTTATGGGGGACACCCCATCTCCTGTGACCCCGACATGGCGCTGTGGTGACACCCTGTCACCCCGACATGGTGTTATGGGGGACACCCCATCTCCTGTGACCCCGACATGGCGCTGTGGTGACACCCTGTCACCCCGACATGGTGTTATGGGGGACACCCCATCTCCTGTGACCCCGACATGGCGCTGTGGTGACACCCTGTCACCCCGACATGGTGTTATGGGGGACACCCCATCTCCTGTGACCCCGACATGGCGCTGTGGTGACACCCTGTCACCCCGACATGGTGTTATGGGGGACACCCCATCTCCTGTGACCCCGACATGGCGCTGTGGTGACACCCTGTCACCCCGACATGGTGTTATGGGGACACCCCATCTCCTGTGACCCCGACATGGCGCTGTGGTGACACCCTGTCACCCCGACATGGTGTTATGGGGGACACCCCATCTCCTGTGACCCCGACATGGCGCTGTGGTGACACCCTGTCACCCCGACATGGTGTTATGGGGGACACCCCATCTCCTGTGACCCCGACATGGCGCTGTGGTGACACCCTGTCACCCCGACATGGTGTTATGGGGGACACCCCATCTCCTGTGACCCCGACATGGCGCTGTGGTGACACCCTGTCACCCCGACATGGTGTTATGGGGGACACCCCATCTCCTGTGACCCCGACATGGCGCTGTGGTGACACCCTGTCACCCCGACATGGTGTTATGGGGGACACCCCATCTCCTGTGACCCCGACATGGCGCTGTGGTGACACCCTGTCACCCCGACATGGTGTTATGGGGGACACCCCATCTCCTGTGACCCCGACATGGCGCTGTGGTGACACCCTGTCACCCCGACATGGTGTTATGGGGGACACCCCATCTCCTGTGACCCCGACATGGCGCTGTGGTGACACCCTGTCACCCCGACATGGTGTTATGGGGGACACCCCATCTCCTGTGACCCCGACATGGCGCTGTGGTGACACCCTGTCACCCCGACATGGTGTTATGGGGGACACCCCATCTCCTGTGACCCCGACATGGCGCTGTGGTGACACCCTGTCACCCCGACATGGTGTTATGGGGGACACCCCATCTCCTGTGACCCCGACATGGCGCTGTGGTGACACCCTGTCACCCCGACATGGTGTTATGGGGGACACCCCATCTCCTGTGACCCCGACATGGCGCTGTGGTGACACCCTGTCACCCCGACATGGTGTTATGGGGGACACCCCATCTCCTGTGACCCCGACATGGCGCTGTGGTGACACCCTGTCACCCCGACATGGTGTTATGGGGACACCCCCTCTCCTGTGACCCCGACATGGCGCTGTGGTGACACCCTGTCACCCCGACATGGTGTTATGGGGACACCCCCTCTCCTGTGACCCCGACATGGCGCTGTGGTGACACCCTGTCACCCCGACATGGTGTTATGGGGACACCCCCTCTCCTGTGACCCCGACATGGCGCTGTGGTGACACCCTGTCACCCCGACATGGTGTTATGGGGACACCCCCTCTCCTGTGACCCCGACATGGCGCTGTGGTGACACCCTGTCACCCCGACATGGTGTTATGGGGACACCCCCTCTCCTGTGACCCCGACATGGCGCTGTGGTGACACCCTGTCACCCCGACATGGTGTTATGGGGACACCCCCTCTCCTGTGACCCCGACATGGCGCTGTGGTGACACCCTGTCACCCCGACATGGTGTTATGGGGACACCCCCTCTCCTGTGACCCCGACATGGCGCTGTGGTGACACCCTGTCACCCCGACATGGTGTTATGGGGACACCCCCTCTCCTGTGACCCCGACATGGCGCTGTGGTGACACCCTGTCACCCCGAACATGGTGTTATGGGGACACCCCATCTCCTGTGACCCCGACATGGCGCTGTGGTGACACCCTGTCACCCCGACATGGTGTTATGGGGGACACCCCATCTCCTGTGACCCCGACATGGCGCTGTGGTGACACCCTGTCACCCCGACATGGTGTTATGGGGGACACCCCATCTCCTGTGACCCCGACATGGCGCTGT